CTACGGACTTTCCGCGGTTTTTTCAACATCTGCATCGAAGCCTGTTCGACGAGGATAAAACTTGTTTATATTATGGATTTTTTTATAGACGTTTTTTACGAGCAATTGTCTGACGCAATTGCTATTAAACGCCCGATCGTTAGATCTCAAACAACAAATGATGACTGTTAATTTTCTTGCGATTCAACTATAGAATAAATATGTAAAAAGAAAGAAAAGAAACGAGTCAATGGTGCGTGTGAAATCAGCACTCCAATTAAATTTTATTAAAATTCTAATTCCGATCGGAGCTACATGAAGTTCATTCACCTTCGGAACTTAGAAACTTTATAAAAATTCCCAAAAACATTTAACTCTTTACAATTGTAAAGAGAAACGGTAGTGTTTCGCGCAGATCGACAGGTCATGCAAATGTTACTGGCGTATGTATAATATCGCACTTGCCACATATCGTGCACCTATCTGGAGTCGATGTCCGGTAACGGTATATGTCCGATCATCGTGCACTAGGCGAAAGTACGGGGGCGTCTGTCGCTACCAAGAGAAACTTTATACCGAGACGAGTTTCTCTAGGGGAATTTTGCGTCTCTAGTTGCATCGTGTGTGTACATCATCGCGTATCGGTATTTATACCCAGTCGCGCGACTTGCACGAAAAAGATTCGTTACATTTGACGAACTTTGCTCTTGTGTAGTGAACATTTGGATCCTCACCCTTTTTTTTGTATTATTAACTCTTTGATGGCGCGCGTTTTCAGACGCATATTTTTAGCACGTCCTGTCAAGCTAAATCATTTTTATTTCCTCAACTTTATTTTCTGAGAGTTTTTTTAGAAAGTTGAACACTCTGTTTGCAATCAGTACAATAAACGACACATGATTTCTAGTTTGCTTTTTCTTCTCCGAGAGGATGGAAAATAATATCGAATTTTCTTCTAAAGCCGTTATATAAAAATTAAAAAATAAATAATGCGTTTAGTTAGCGAGATATTAATCAGAATATAACAGCGAAAATAACTCGAATGACATATTGGAATTATTTTTTATCGAGCATCAAAGAGAGAGAGAGAGAGAGACTTGCCTGATAAATCGCGAATGATTCGATAAGCCACAATCTCTCGCGCGATACAAATGTATATGTGTATATATTTCTGTCACGTGGACCAGATGAATACCGTCGCGGTCAATGTTTCGAAACACTTTTGCTCCAAAAGCATAACAGTAGAATGAAAATGAAGACGAATGGAACGCGACGATTCATCGAGAATCGAAATCTTGAGACAGTTGCAGTTTTGAGATCGGGATTAGACATCCCGATGCTATTATTAAACGGTTTCTCTTTACAGTTTCTCGTGATAATAATAAGATTTCGTGTGTGTGTTATCCCCTTCTCTTGGCTTTCGCTGCCGATCTTTTGGCGCCGTGCCCGTGGTCGATGTATGCGTCCCGAGGACGTCGGAAACGAAAGCCGCGGTCTTCCTCTTTGCAGCGTCGCGGCAGCTGCGTTTGTCGTCATCGTTACGTCGCGATGCGCCGAAATAGCAGAGAACAAAAAGCAGGAAGAACAAAACGCGCCTCCCGCTGACGTCGATCGCCCACAAATATATACGTTAGAAATATTAAATATCTAAATATCAGCTGCTCACGTATTGTGGAATTAATGCTTGACGAGATCTTTTTTTTCAAAGGAGCTGAAGAATATTTACGCTCATGTATGAAGAATATTACGCTCATCACTTGAAACAACAACTAAATTTTTTATATGATTTTTAATTTATTTTTAAAAAAGACGTGAGGAGAATTGTCATTTATTATGAGATTTCAAAAGTTCAAAGGCTATATTTATCACGTATGTGACAAAAAGAAATTAAACTCGATTAAACAAACAAGTCGCTACGACGCATATATGTCATCAAGTTTACTTCGGTTTTCATGTAATCAAATTTCAAGTTATGTTCTCGGTATGCTTGTCACATACTTGTAAGTAAATATAGCCTTTGAATCTTGTATGTATTAGAAGTGTGCAAAAGTTCTCGATGGCGCTGTATGGCCTTCAGCTTTATTAGTGATCTTGCTTTTCTGTCTTTCGTTGTATTTGCTTTGTAAACTGTTATAATCTTTAACACAAATAAAGCTTGTTCTAGTGTTTTTTAAAAATGGAGATCGATAAAGTGCATATTCGGCACTGCGTGTTATTCCAATTTAATCTGGGCAAAACAGCTGCAGAAGCACAAAAACTTATATTTGTTCTACATGTGGGAAAAATGCTGTGAGTGCAAAGCACGTGTCGAAGGTTCACGAAATTTAAACGTGGTAATTTTGTGTGATCTCATCGACAATCCTACGCTCTGGAAGGCTTCAAGAGTTGAAATCTGACGATTTGCAAGGATAGCTGGATCAAGATGACTCTCAATCGAGTGTAGAACTTGCTAAACAGTTACAAGTTGATCATACAGTTGATAACAGAGCTATGATGGTTACATGCAATAGAAAAAAATATAGACAGAAAAAATAGGTTCTATATGAACTTTCTCAAGGCAACATTGCACAAAGACTAAAAAAGCACATGCATCGCGCTGCTTGTCAGATAAAAAAGGAAAAGTGTTTTATAGAAAATTGTGACTGGCAATAAGAAGTGGATTTATTACGATAATTCGAAGCATTAGGTAGACCCCGGACAACTTACAATCTCCACGTCAAAACAAAACTTTCACAACAAGAAAGTCTTGTTGCGCATTTAAGACGAGAAGGGCGTTAAAAGAAAGTAGGGTAAGAAGTAAGTAAAGTACCTTTGGCCATGCTCCCTCCTTGTGTTGGAAGACCATCGAGCGATTTTAGTGGTGAGAATCCCACACTCCCTCAGTACTCCTCCGAGCTGAATTGTTTAAATCAAGAAATAGACAGAAAATAACTATTTATTGGCAGAGGATCTAGACGACTTATTCTGTTATACGACAATACTTGTCCTCAAGTGACTGTTGCGACGCAGAAAATAACGAAACTTGAGTAGGAAGTTTTATCACACCCGTGTTTTCTAGACATTTCGCTTTCTGATTTGTTTAGGTTTAGGTTTAGGTCACTACAGCGTATCTTTGGTGATTCACTCTTGAAATATAGAAGACATTCACAAAAGTATATTGATAACTTTATCGTCTCCAAACTTCAGGAATCTTTCACAATCCAGAACTCATCAATTACCTGATAGATAGCGGAAGATAATAGAAAGCAAGGAAAATATTTTAAGTAACACTTTGTATTTTTATAATTATACAGATTTTTAGTAAAAAAACCTTTTGCACTTCTATATATAGTTTTATGTACATATACATTTATAGTGAACATAATATACGTGCACGAAATATATATCTGCACGTTGTTTCTCCTCTCGTCGTTCATGGACGGATCTCGTTACGACACGCAGGCTGCTCGAGGACGATGGCTTTCCCGATTTATGTCCTCGCGTCAAGTTTGTGTCGTCAAGGCTCGCCGTTATCGTCGCTGCTTCAGAATTTCCTCTCAATTTGAATTGACGACACGGAACCGCAACAATTTTCATTATTTTTGCGTCACTTGCTTTACTTCTTTGTCGGCTTAATTTAATAAACTGAAATTTTTCGAAAGAAAGACGTACAAGAGAAAAATATATGAGTATTTCATAATAAAATTGAAAGAAAAAACTTCGATACTTTGAAAATAAATGTGAGATCTTGATTTAATAAAAAAAACAATTAGACAATATTTATTTAGACTCATCCCCCCCCCCACACACACACACGTACACGCACATTTCAAATCTCATTGTGAAGAAAATAAAAAATTAAATAATAATTAAAAAAACAAAAACTTATCTAACGATCAAACAAAAACTTTAATAGCATTTATTAAAATGTTACAAGCACATATTAATTTAACTGAAAAACATAAGGAGCGTTTTGTATTTAGTGATTCTAACACTGTAACAGTTTTTTACTGCTGTTCATTTTCTCGGTAAATGAGAGTTTGAATGAGAAAACCAATACCTCGGTAGATATTTACAGTTACAATTCCGCGTATGACGCATGTATACGTGCAAAACTCACCGAACGTGATTTATAAACCTGTGTATATACGTATGCCATATGTATGCCAAAGAAAGATGATCCTATCTGTAAATTTTATTTTTTTCTTTGGTATTGCGTTATCGGTCTTGTATGTCAACGGACGTATATACAACCAGAGCGGAAAGACACAATCGATCATCGTTACAACCACGGCAAATCTGTATCGGCTTTCGAGAATATCAGAGAAACTCAATATATTAAATAAATATTCGAATGTTTCCTTAATCTGTTGATAGATATGTGGTTGCAACATTCGTCTGTAATCTTCCATGAAATCTGATCCTCTTCAGCGTTAATATCGTTTCGTTTTATACAAGACAATATTAACGTATAATAAATATAAATTGATAAGAGTATAGATATATATATACAAGAGTATACATACATATACATTTTTTTCAACTTAAATCTACAAGAAACAAAAACTGGCATTACCTATCTTATGTTTTTCCTCAATATTTCAATCGTTTGAATTTAAATTTTCAAAACTTCGAAAATCAATTTTTTTGCAGAATAAACTGATAAGTTGCACTGATATTTGTACACAAGAGAATTAACAGTAGGAAAAATGTGTAGGAAATATTAAAAGAAAAATCACAGAACAATTAAATACTAGAAATTGTTCTGCATAATTAAAAAATTTGTGAAATAATATCTTGAGAATTGCGCGTAAATATTAGGTCTGTTCTTTTTCCATACTTTGGCTGCACTAGTTCACAGTCTATCTTTTTCCTTTTAATATAGATAAAAAAAGATAGACTGTGAACTAGTGCAGCCAAAGTATGGAAAAAGAACAGACCTATTGTGAACAATCGTGACTGAGCACGGGAGATCGGCGATTTTTGTGTGCAGATGTTCACTTGTGCGCTACATACTCAAACGTGTGTTCTTCCAATTTCAGGCACAGAAAGATGTCCTCAGAAGGGAGTCGTGAAGCAGGTGGCCTCGAAGCTGGTAAGGGCGCTGTCCGAGAAAGGATTGGCCTTGCTCGTCAACCACGGCATTCCGGAATGCAAGGTACGATAAAAGAAAATGAGGAAGGAAGGAAAAAAACTTGCGCTTGCAAAACAAATATCGAGAGATCCGCGCGAAGGCTTCTTTTGACTGATCAAACGCCGCAGATTTCTATCACTCGCGGATGCGGTCGATATCACGCGCTGTCGCAACTCACCGACGTGATGGATCCTTGTAACGCCGAGAAAACGGAGTGTCGTGTAACTCTTCTGTTTCCGCACTATTAGAGAAAATTTTCCGCGCGCGGTTAAAAATAATTTTATTATTTCCGTTGTGGACCTATTTGGAGTTATAAATAAATCTACTGTAAAAAATATTATATACAGGATCTCGATGAGCACAGAAAAAATACATAAGATTTTAACGGCAACTTTTAAGTAGCTGATCTTATGAATGTAATTAAAACTATAAAAGAAAAAAGAAGCATGTGTAATTAGAAATAACAATATATATGTATTTATAATTTAATAATAGGTATATGTGCAACACTGCAAACATTAGAAAGGGTCGATAAGAGCCGGACGTAGATATAAAATGGCGTTTGAACGAAAGATAAGATTAAGACCGCGCATTAAGTGCGCGCATAATGCTTTAGAGAATTTATCATTATCAGCCGATCGTGTTGTATTATCGATAGTCGTTTAAGAACTTTCTCTTTGGGAACGCTTCTCCAAAAAAGACATTGAAATTCAGCCGTTATACTAAAGCGCAAAACCTTTCTTAGTAGTTTATTATCGGCCGCTTGAGCATATCTCGAGGTTAATGAAGAAACGTTGAATTCTTGAATTTTCAAGGGCCTGCGATAAACATACATTGCGAGCAACGGCCTTGCGGGCGTTTGTGCTTGCTATCGGAAACTTGCGGGTGATACCACAACAGCGTATGTTGTATAGTTTCACACGATAATCCACTCACGACTTGTGAGCGTGCATAACGATAGTTGACTTAAAAACCGAGAATGTAAGAATTTAACGAGTAACGCAACTTTGTCTCTCGTGTTACGCGAGAATATAATATTCTTCTCGGAGAAAAAAACACATCAAAATCATAAATCATAAATCCTCCTACCAGAAAAAGCGTGTGTAAATAATTATAATCGATTCTCTCGATATTGATTGTTGCCACTTTTATCTCGACGCTGATTAGACGTTTTTCGGATGTGTTTCTCGATGTCGTACGAATATATGTATATGTATATATGTATATTCGCCTGTGTGTTGTGCTAGTTATAAAAAAAACGTGCAGATGTATCAATATCAAAACGCAGCCACGAAGTCGAGATATAAGATTTTTCAAGGATACTTGTACACAAATCTCTCTAATGAGATCTCAATTCGAGTAATTCTTTGACAAGTAATCGCGACGCAATGCGGCAAGTTCATTAAAATAATCGCACGACAAATACGTAGAACGAGTCTGTGGAACAGGCAGATTGATCAGGTGTATTTATTAATCATGCTGGATTTCCTTTATAGCTATCAGTCGAGAGTGTACATACGACATATATGTATGTGCAAAATATCAAGTCTCTTAAAAAACACTTGATGTTAAAGAGAGAGAGAGAGAGATCTAAATTATGATTTAAGATACATTTAATTTTACAATTATCGAAAGTTTTTGAAAGAGCGCAAGAGAGATTTCTTTTGAAGAAATTACATTTTCGTGAAAAAGATTATTAGATTAATTTATTAATTTAACTGGCAGTTTAACTAAATTAATAATTTTCATTTTGTTTTTTTTTTTTTATCGAAACTTTATATTTTCTGTTTTATATGTATATATATACATGTATACATTAAAAAATTAATTTTCTATCAGTGCAATCCACAACATTATCTCTGGAATTTAAATGTTGATGTCTCTTTTTTGTGATATTTTCTGGTAAGATAATCATTTTTTTTAAATCACAGATTATTTCGATTCGAATTTTTTTCGCGGTTGACTCACTTGAGAAATTTAGCATAAAAAATATATGCTCGAATAAAAAGTTTTACACGATGAGCCGTGCACTTCGTTCCGCATGTCGGTTTTCATCTCTAGTATTGGAAATAACACATGCGACTCCGTTCTCGGACAAGCTCATACACGGCCAGCAGCAAACGTCACTCGCGCGTGCAACCGCCGATTGTTTCGCGCGACGGAATCACGATCGCGTTCTTGGTTTTTTTCCCCGCGACGACTGTTCTTTCCACGACATTACATAACGGAAGCAACATACATTATTACGCCATCACTAGGTACGAGATTACACGTATTGGCGCTACGGGTGTTCTCCTTTGCAAGAAGATTCATCCGTGACTAAGAAAATCGTCACGACATACGTGTCAACTGTCAACGTGAATTATTTCCTCGATACGCTTCGCTTTCCCGAAGCTACCTGTGATTCGAGGAATCGAAGACGCCACGCGAGAAACACACAAACGCGGCGTGTTATGAAATCGCGTGATTATTTGCACAGAAATAAACGTTTTTTGTTTGCAATTTAACTGACGGAAACTTGATCAATTACTGGAGATTTTAAGATAGAATCTCCGTTTCGCCGAAAATCGATTCCTCATCACGTTCCTTCGAGTTGTTAAATCTATATTTAAAAATAGAACTCGGGAAGATCGAAAAACGCACGATCGAGAATATTACTTCCTGTCAATTCCTGTAACTGATTATTTACATAAGTGCGAGAAACGTACCGATGCAACACTAATGCGCAATATTCATCCCCCCGAACTTATCGCGCGAAATTAAAAGTCAAATTTGCTGCCTGTTACTGGAATGATCTGGATATTTCTTTACAATGTCTACACGTCACACGCGAAATCTAAAAAGTGTGTTTACAGCAACGTCAAGATACCTACGCGAGATACGCGATCTTTCGGATACGCGTATATCCGAGAACAATAATTTTCATTGACAGAACGAATCTTATCGTTATTTTATTTACATGTATATTTTCTTCCTCGCTTTCGTGATTCATTAAGATATTGTCTTCTCTCTTCACAGCTGAAGGCAGCTTACCGAGCTATGGATGCGTTTTGCGATTTGCCGGACGAAGAACGTGCAAAATACGAACGCATTCCGTCGGATAATCATGGCTACGTGAAACCAGGCACAGAAACGTAAGTCGGAAAATTGTATCTCTTCCTTGTGACTTGCCGCTATTGAATAAATTAGTTATTACACAAATTGAGATTTATTTCTATATGTTTAGATTTTCGGACGAAGTGGAAATACGTCATTCTTTCAACATAACCAGACGCGATGGATTGCTGCCTGACAAGGTTGATGGATTCAAATTGGCGGTGGACGAATTGTCGAGCGATTTCACACAATTATCCACTATGCTTCTGACTGTAATAATCTCTCTTATTGTTTTATATTTTTTGAATTATATTATATTTAGTTTTTCTTTCAGTATGTCTGCTATGCTATCGCTTTGTTATTATTTTTGTGATAAACGTTTCCGCCAGAAGCTCGTGTTCCTAATCTCGGAAGGCAGATTTTCATTTCGCTGCTTGCACATCGACTAACAACTCGATCTCTGCAGGAAGAGCAATAAACAATAGAAAACCCTGTTCGTTACAGGCGCTGTCTGTGGGCTTGGAACAGTCCCACGACTTCCTGTTGTCGAAGCACGCGCACATACTCGGCCCCGGGAACTCTTCCACCCTGCGTCTTCTGTATTATCCGCCGGTGGGTGCACCGGAGCCAGGAGTGACTCGATGTGGTGTCCATTCCGACTACGGCACTTTCACTCTGTTGGCGCAAGTATGTAGATTCCGATATTGCGCGCGCGCTTTGCAAAACGGCGCGTATTACGATCGAAAAGATTCACAGTTGTAAATAAATTTCTTAGGAGAAATGCGTGGGAAATGCGTGACGTCTGAAAACGTTATAAATTCCGCGTATCTTTATATTTTCCCGGTAGCCGTCAGATATACAAATATTCTATATCGCGCATTTATTCGTGCTTCATCATCGCTCGTTGCGATAAAGCGGCTTCACTGCTGTCAACTAAAATGAGAAAGTATTTATGAAAAAGAAAAGACGAGTAAAAGATAAACGTATTGGTAAGTCAAAATAGTATTTGCACACGTGATTTACATACTTCAAAAGATGATACGTTCGGTACATCATAGACCGTGATTAAACAAGATCAAAGATATAAAAGCGCGCGACGTTACATTTATATCTATAATCAGTATGTATACCATACATACAGATATACATTATCTATCACGTGTGTCGTTTTAAATCAACAATGTACGCACGAAATCTTTTTTCAGGACTGCGAAGGCGGTCTTGAAATACAGTTTCCACGTGGAGATCGATGGACTAGAGTGGGTCATCTGCCGGGCGCCATATTGATGATTAGCGGCGAACTATTGGCATGCTGGACCAAGGGACAGATCCAAGCACTGAGACATCGCGTCATCATGCCAGAGCACTACGGTCGTGGCCGTCACGCCGTCGCCTTCTTTGTGCATCCAGATGACAGCATTCCGATCGAGCCGCTCGACATGCAGATTGCTGCCAATCAAGAACCAACACTTTGCCGTCTCCAGAAGAAGAAACGCACCGTCTTCACGGCGTATCAGCATCTTCAGCGACGACTTCGCGAGACTTACGCGTCCTAACTACTGTCTGTTTTCGGATATCCCGTAAAATCAAAATCTTCCGTAACGTTATTCGCGGTACTAAAAAAATATAAAAAAATAAAAAAAAAAAAAGTTTTCATGCGCACTCATTGAACAAAAAATACAATCTCGCGATTTAATTTCATATCAGTTCGATATATTACGAGTAAAATTGAATATCTTACAGATAAAAGAATTATAAGTTTTTTTTTAATTTTAAAATGTTTTTTTTTAATTTTGACAAATCGCACTATACATCGCCTGTAGATATACGTGTTACATATAAAAAAAGATCAAATGTCGAAAAATAATTGCACATAATTCATGATGATTCATTCCAGTTTTAATGTATCAACTCGATACAAGTTCATTACCGACCATTTTTAGTTTGAATTTCAACGGCCTAACTTAATTACCATCTTGTCTTCACGATCTGCGTTCACAAAGACTTTTTTCACTGAGCGAAACTATACAATACGCTAAATGTAAGAAAAAAATATGTAAAAAGTATGTAAAAAATGCGAGTCTCAGGCAATAAAAAAATAACGTAATTTGTACTTAATTTTTAATAGAAAATATTTCTATTAAGATATATATATATATATACAGTAGAACCTCGATAACTCGAATCTCAAGGGAAGAGCTAAAATCTTCGAGTTGTAGAGGTTTCGACTTATTGAAGTTCTTTTTTCCTTTCCGCAGAGCAGAAGAGAATGAACAAAATTTTCGTCTTATAGAGGTTCGAGTTATCGAGGTTTGACTGTATATATATATATGTATATATTACATGTATAAACATTTTAACTTTACTTAGAATCCAGGATCCCAATCGGTTTCTTGCGGCTTTTTGTACATCTGATAACAAATCAAAATGTCTCCGGGTTTGAAGGACACGTTAGGATTCTCGAACCTCAAACCGCACTCTACATTTGTTTTTATTGATTCTGTTTCGGACTTCATATGTCTCATAGAAGACAATTTCCCTGAAAAAGTTAAAAAAAAAAAACGCGTTTTATCATCGTTCCTATCGCAACTGATAAACAATATTTCTTACCGACATAGATGGTTTCTTGTCCGCGTATCATGCGGTACATCGCGTCTTTCTTGAGAATACCTTTGGTACATCGGCAACCCGCGACCTTAAGTTTCTTTTTCTTTTCAGTGATCTCGAATTCCTGCAGCACATTTGCTTCGCCTGTAAAAACAGTAAACATTCAAAATACAAATTTACGATGTTAACAGCGTTCTTCACGTACCTATCACCTCTTCAGCTTCGATGTGAGGCAGCCTGTTGTTTAGTTCCTTTTTGACATCGTCTACGAGCTTATATATCACGTTGTATGGGCGAATCGATATCTCATTTTTACTCGCTTCTTTTTCCAAGTCCTTCGTGATGTTCACGTTAAAAGAATATATAATGGCTGTAAAGATTTTAAGGCGGTTAGATTTATAGAGAGCTTCATTTCACAATTTCATCAACGTGTCTCACCATCGAACACCTCCGCCATTTCCAGATCCGTCTCTGTGACGGGTCCGACGCCGTAATGAACGACGCTCAATTGGCACTTATCGTCGCTTCCGTACGTATCGAAAACGTCAAGTATAGCTTCTACGGAGCCAGCGACGTCGCCCTTCACGATGACGTTGAGTCTAGGCTTTCCGTTGTCGGGTCTCTCGTTTTTAATAGGAAGCACCAATTTTGCGTATCTGCCAATTGCCATTCTCTTCTCTCGCAGTGTCTTGTATTCCTAGACTCGGTAATAACAACGTAGATGAGATGTATAACGCATTATTATTAGACCGCAAACAAAACGTCTTACTTTTAGATGTTCTTCATGTTTTTTATCCGCCGCAATTTTATGCTCCTGCGCTAGCTTCTTTGCTTTCTCCGTTTCTCTGTATCGCATCACCATGCGTGCTTTTTTCTCACTATCGACTTCGAGTATTTCGTCCCCAGCATTGGGCAAATCCTTCCAGCCGATGATCTGTACTGCCTCGGACAATTTCGCTTCTGTGACCGGCTTTCCGGAATGATCAAACATGGCTCTTACTTTGGCCCACGTCAACCCACTCACTGTTGAACGAAATAGGAAAAATGTTAAATATACAGGATTTTTTTACTTTACGGAGTTAATTTTACAAAGAACATTAGAAATAAAATAAATTTTTCTTTTTCCTGAAATAAAGCGGTCTTTACCAAGAAACGCTCCTTTCCTCAGAGTACCGCGTTGGATTAAAGCTGTCGCTAATTTGCCGCGATAACGATCGATGTAGCATTCAATCACAACAGCTTCGACCAATCCCATTGGATCGCCCTTCAAACCCATGAGTTCAGCTTGTAATGCTATGGTTTCCGTCAGAAGATTTACGTTAGTTCCATTCAACGCCGATATATTAACGCACTGAATATCGCCGCCCAACGATTCTACCAAAATTCCTTGTTGCGCAAGCATGTTCTGCGTTCTCTCCTAAAATGCACTTCATAACATAAATATTGCTCGTGTTGGGTTGTTGGGAGAATTCGTAACATTTTCCAATATAACCAGGAAAATATGTCCGAGATATGTACACAAGACATCGCGCACAGATCTAACTCAGAGCCTTCCAACTCGCACACGGCGTGCGGTTTGCGCCATAAGATTTCTATGCAGTCACGTGATCATTTGGAAGGCTCTGATCTAACTAACAAATCAGACTAAAAATATCAAACAGCATCTTACATGAACATATATTATAAACGTTAAATTATTTGAGTCAGTACAAATCTTTAAATTTCATTTAAAAATCACTACGTTCTTTCCAAACAAGCAAATTAATTAAAATTCACGTACAATGTCAGCTTCAGGTTTATCGATTTTATTGATCGCCACGATTATCGGAACATTCGCAGCCTTTGCCATATTTATGCTCTCCACAGTTTGTTCCATCACGCCGTCGTCAGCTGCTACCACTAGTACCACGATGTCAGTCACTTGCGCGCCCCTCATTCGCATAACGTTGAATGCAGCGTGGCCGGGAGTATCGAGAAACGTGACTGTTTCTCCTGTTTTTAACGTCACATTGAAGGCACCGATGTGTTGTGTAATGCCACCGAATTCCGTTTTTACAACGGATGTGTTGCGCAATGTGTCCAACAAGGTAGTTTTGCCGTGATCGACGTGGCCCATAATTGTCACTACCGGATGACGTTTAATCAAAACGGATTCGTCTGATAAAGGCCGCTTGACGACATCGTGATCTTTCGTTTCCTTTTCTCTGCTCTCTGGTCGGGAAACTAGTCTAAACTTTGCACCGAGTTTTCGCATCACGTCGTATACTATATTTGGGTTCTCAATAACAGTATTTTCATTGTATTTTCCACTTGAATCAGAGAAAGAAAGCGCTTCGATTATATCATCTATATCTCTTTTTGCAGATGCTGCTAGCTCCGATACTGTCATTCTGTTCCATATATCCACAACAGACATGTCTTTTTTTGCTGATTTTATCTTGAACCCTGTGAACTGTGGTTGTACATGTTTTAATTTTAAAATGTGATATTTTAAAATTTAATATCCAACTGAAATTAGATCACTTACCTTTTCTTTTCTTTTCTTGAAGCATTGTGGCGTTGTGTGATAATGCTGACATAATGTATATGTGATACATAAATTGTGCAGAATTGTATAATTTCTGATATTATCACTTCTGACAATTTCATAGAATGACTGCCTCAGTAAACTGCAAAAATTGTAATATTTTAATAAAACTAACAGAAAATATAGTTTTATTCTTATCTGTATCACAATTTAATATAAATTATTACAATTTAATTGTATTTTAGAAAGAGTAAATAACAGTATAAATATAAATGACTAAACCTAAATTATTTTAAAGTTATGTTTCACTTCAAAGGAAAAAATTTGTAACTTATTACAATTCTTCCTCGAGAACAGATGCTATTGAATAAATCTCAAAGGTGTAACTTCAATCATCGTTTTGTCATCTCATTAAAGATACAAATAATCACCTGAACTCCGTACATATCTTGATCAAGGATGCAGCCATGTTTTGATTATGCAATCAGCTTAGCCAACTTGAGAAAATCAAATAATTGGCGTTAACTGCGTTCCGAGTTACGCATATGCGCGCATTTATCTAGAGTACACGTGACGTATAGTATAGATAAATGCGCGCATAAGCGTGAAACGGAACAGCCCTCGTTTAAACCTTTGACCTTTGACTATATCAGAGAGAAGCCTGAGCCTATGTCACACTACGAATTGGGATTGAGATTTGATTGAAATTTGACCAATCCGAAAAAAGAAAACCAATCCTAAGTTTAGTGATCTTCTCTCTGATTGGCCAAATTGCAATCCAATCTCAATCCTAATCCGTAGTGTGACATAGGCTTGAGAGCGGCCACGGCTATAAAGCCCGTTCTACATTGATCGCAAGCGCAAACGCAAGGAACAGGTCTCGTAGAATTGACCAATCACGCTGGTCAATTGGCTGATTTGATCAATACGATTAGTCAATTCTACCAGACCTGATCCTTGCGCTTGCGATCAATGTAGAACAGGCTTTATATCTCTAAGCACTCTCTATTCAATTAGAGAAAAGAATTTCGACGGACAAAAACTCGTTCGTTTGCGCATCTCCTCTATTAAAAAGTCTTCTTCCTTCACAACCATTGGCTGTCAGCAAGTTTCCGCCAATCCCACACGCAACGCTATCTCCACTTTGTCCGTTCTTCTTCTCTTATGCGCAATAAAAGTTTCTTCAATTTAATTCAATGTTGTAATGGCATAGTGGGCATGGACGAGAGACTCATAAGTCATAAAAGTTTCTTCTCACATTGAACGCAGTATAAACAGACTGGGTTTGTAAGATTCACGCAACTTGAAAATCAATTATCTCCGCGAAAAATCAATATTTTTTTCAAATTTTTTTGGTTTGTTTTGTTTTAATCAAAAGTTTGAACGATTCTGCGTCGATAAAAAACAATTTAAAAAATTTTTAATTTTGAAGATAAAAGCGTTTAAAAAAACTAATTTTTACTAAAGACACTAGTTTGAGTGACCAAGGTCATCGGTTAGAGACACCGAAATTTTTGAGTGGGTCTGGGAAACCCGTGCCTCTCTGTCCACAAAGGGTTAAAGATTCCGAATACATATACTAATTGAAGTGTAAACAACGGTGTAAAAAACTGGCGCAAAAATGACTAAATTTGCGATTTGCATTTTTTTATATCAGCACGAAGAGTGTCAATACTCGACACTTTGCACCCGGGCGTAGTGTTTATGTTGTCGATGACCGACAATTATAAACGATTAAAATGACAGATAACGGGAAAAAACGAAGAAAAAAACAAAGCAAGCTCTGAGCCCGAGAAGCCCCTTTAACGCTGAAACTCGCTGCGGAGAGCGGCCTCGGAGGACTGTAGTTAGCGACTATTAATATCATCGATCGGGATCGATAGTTCTGCCTGCAAGGCGTCATAATAATACGGTGGATGATGCGGATCTCTCTGATACTCTGCCGATACGTCACGTACGCCGTTAACGAGGTACAAGTGGCGCCAATGATGCTCGCAAACATCGCGCCCTGCCGTGCAATCTGTTATCGTTAACTCGCGCCACGAAAATTGTCCGCTAATGCCCGCCGCTAATGATCAAGAAATAAAAAAAGACACGCTTCGCATTGTGTTAAGAAATCTTCCACGTGCATAAAGTATTTGTTTAAAAAAATATTTATTGTGTCTAATTTGTCAAAAAAAAACGATGCTTCTATACTAAATCTATTTGTATTAAATTTATTTTATATTAAATAAATCTATTTTATATTAGAAATATATTTTATAAATTTATTTTATATTAAATGAATGTTTATTATTATGTTATTACGTTTTTCTTCCGTGATTAACAAATTAATTGGAGCATTCTGGTGTCAGAAAATGAAGTACATTCACGGATTTCGCTTCAAAGTCTAAAAAATTAATTAAATGTTTTTTCTACTAAACAATAATCTTTCTCTATTAAAATTTTTTCAAGTTTGTAACTTCACTCTTTTCAATTTATAACATTAAAGTGATATTTTATATCAACTGCGCTCTCTCTTCTAGCATCGAAAGCTCTCGCGCAAACATTTCTTCTTTGGTTGTCGTCGTGTATTCACGGCTCGCGCGAAAATTACACACGTGCGATCATGGAATCGCGCAAGTCCTCGCGCGTCGTTAATACGCGCTCCGTTCGATTCGCACGACCGACACGATCTTGCCGCCTCGTAAGGGCCTTGTAATGCGAAATAATGGCTATCCACCCACCCGATGAAAATTACACGAGACGCGCCAGACCTCTCTCGATCGGAACGGAGAGAAGGGAAAGGAGTGAGACATGCACAGGACGCGAAACGAGAGAGAAGCCCTGAAGAAAAGGACACGCACATAGTAAGATCCGAGAAAAATAATTGTTTAGCGGACGTCGGAACAAAAAATAATTAAAATTTAAGGATTTAGATCTCTCGAGATACGCCTTCTTATTGTACCGCACGCAGGTGGAACGTTATTTTATGAAATAAGATTGACCATAACTTAGAAAGAACAAAACCTGTGAGAGAAATCAAGAGATATAGCTATGTAATATCAGAATTAATTACAAATACGCAGTAAAACAGAACATTTTAAAGTAATATTGAATACCGCTGGTAATGTAAATACAAATTAGAGAGTAAGCAAGGTTCGAGCACAATAATGATTTTACTAATATAATAAATACGATTTCTTTACATATCTTTACATTACACAGCGAAATATTTTGACTCTAACTTGAGTCTTCTTCAGTCGTAACATATAAAAGAGATAACTTAGTATAAGAACATTTTAATTTGAGAAAGGATCTCCTGAGACATGTGTAAACAATATTAAAGTAACTTATTTGTGTTATTTATTGACAAACTAGTAATGTTAAGTAATTAACATTTTATATTTATATTTGTTATTTTGACTTTAAGTGTAATGTAAAAATAAAATAACACATAAAATAATGAAAACCTGTATGCATAAAAGAATAATTACAATAAAACTTGTAAGAAATGTGTAGTTCATGAAAAACATAACTATTCTTTCATGCAGTTTTTAATTATTGTATGTTATTTTATTTTTACATCACACTTAAAATAACACAAAATAACAAATATAAATGTAAAGTGTCACTTAACTTAAAATTACTAGTTTGTCTACTAGTATTACATGATGAATGAGTTACTTAAATATTTTTTACATGTTCCAAGAGATCCACTCAAATAAAAATGAACATTTTCTTTTTTATTGTGTATATAGGTATAGTCAAAATTATCGAAGTTAGATCAGTTTCCGACTGGAATTCGTACATTAAATTATTACAGCTAAGAATTTACTTGCTAATTATTGCAATACTAAAATATGTGTTTGTCGCTGTTGTGATATATATAATCACTTTGTGATAATTACAATTTCACAATAGTATCTTAATTAAAACATATAAATATTATTAATATATTATTTATTAATATCAATGATGAGAGAATCTTGTTGCGTAACACATATAGTTGCGGTAATAATAATAGTAGAAGAAATAACGTTTAGGTTGGAAAGGAAACAGCATGGCCAGGTGCGCCGATTCGTTCCCCACGACCCATCTGACCATTTAAATTAGTCAAGAGCAGCTTCCTTTCAAAAATTAATTGACGTATCGATTGGGGAGGGGGGCCGCTCCGCAGACACATTGTATACCGATGTTGGCGGTGCCAGGGCTTCGGTTTACACTGCCCATCGCGCAAACAACGGTCGAATAATGACGACGCGTTTCCAATTCGAGTTTCTGATAAGACCTGCCGATGTACTAAAAAAAGCGGAAGCTACTCTTTTTACAATTATTGTCTTCGTTACCCAGATAAAGGTGTGATCGCTTCATAATAAATTATCAAACACGATGCCTTTATTATTTCACTCCTACAATTTTGCAGTATAATACAATTTGCATAAAGTCTCACTTAATTTATTAAAAAGTAAAAAATTAAGACTTTGATGTGTAATTAATAATTAATTATCAGGCTGGCAACACGCGCGGCAGTCTCTCCAGTCGCTCTCGTTGCATTTTTCATATTTTTACGAGCCCGCAAAACTGCGCGTCGGGATAATATAATAAACGAATGCAAGAGAGGAGACACACACGCGGATATATAAAAATAAATGGCCGTGGCCAAGCGCGCCACGCAACCCGACGCGCCACACGCAGAGGACCGCGCGCGCGAGACGTGTTTATAGTAATGAGCCTTGTCGTTATTTGTCCAGCGAAGGGGATTTATCGAGATACCTTGTGAGATCTTGTTGCTCGATCTTTCCTCCCTTCGAAAGACGTCCGCTTATTTTCTTCGTCGTATCCTCCACTTCCCCGTTTCTTCCCACCCTGCTGTTCCCCCGCTGAGGTTGTTAAACCTTTTGTGGCTGCATAGAAAAAAGAGCAGAGAGAATGATTTTTTTTTATTGGTGACAAAAGAGAAACGCGCGAGATGAGCAATGGTAAACTTTTCTCTGCCGACAAGATTGTGTATCGTCAATATTATCTTAACAAAAATATTGTAAAAGTGTTAATGATCATCCTTTTGATGAATTTTGAGGAAAATTATATCAATAGAAATTCACGTGCGCAATACGCGCAATACGAGAATAAATGTGAAAATAAAGGGAAAGATAAACTTATCTCGTATCCATTAGCAATTAATTATAATATTTTAATTATATTCGCACACGTGATTTTCGATGAACAACAAAATGTGATCTTATCGCGTAATAATTCGATAATTATATACGCGGATGCGTAATCGCTATATTTAATTTTACCAGCATAAATGTTTTGCAACAAACGAGAAAGCTTAAACCGGGAAATGTGAATTATTTGTCACATCGCGCGCTTTTTGCTCGAATTACGAGCTCGTTGTTTGTAAATCTGGTCCGTTTACGACACTTTTCGTCATTTATTTATTTATCTTTTTCCTTCGTTCGGTGACACCAGTAAATTACTGTGATTTTGCAAAACGATCATTTTTAATGGTTATTTATGCAATATAGAATGACAAATATTTGTCAAGAGATAATC